TGATCTAGGATGCTCTGAAAAAAGATGCAATTTAATCCTGGGTAATACTTTAGTCATTAAATAACAATAACAATAATAATAATAATAATAATAAATGTTATTTGTAAAGCACCTTTCATTGCTAAAAGCAATCCCAATATCACAGCGGATATGAGACCTGCATCATTGATCCCATGACTTTACCAGAAACATGTGTGATTGATCTGAGGATGAGATGTGGATGCTCAACTTTCAACTAACACTGACGGAGTGCAATTGTTGTAACCATTGATTGTTTTGGATCACAGCCTCCTACCGTTGCATCATCCTCCAGGCATCAAAACAAAGTTGTGTGTAATGCAGCTTCAGCTTGAGCTCACAGCCATGTTTGTTTACTGTCCTTGACACATGACAGTGGGGTGAGCAGGTCTGTGGCCATGACCAGTGACAAGAACAACTCTACCCATGTCATCCCTGCCTTTCCTCCTGTCCTGCGCCTAACAAAGCCCGGCCCTGGTCTCTCGCCTCAGGAGTCACAGGGCCGTGCTTTGAAGAAGAGAACAGCAGGGACACATTCAGACCAATGATAGGGGAGACAGTGCTCTGTGTGTGAGTAATGATTGACAGCATGTTGGATTACTCAGAGGCATTAGTCACGGTGAATTTGTTACATGTTCTTGTTCTCTATTCTGTTAGTGTGAAAAGGTGGAAACCTGGTCGTCTTTGGTAAAAAACCTGTACGTCTTTCATGAAATGACTCAAAATAAACAATCTAGTGATGTCTAAACACATCTCTGACTACCACTTAGTCTGAATAAATCTTTATCATAACACACAATTTAAGAAACAGTTCAAATTGTTCAATCCAACAACAACACAGCACAGATCTGGTCATTAGTGAAACAAACGTGCTTGGCTTGGCCGGCCAAGGACTCTGTACAAAGTGTTCATACAAGCAAAAGCAAACATGTTTCTGCTGGGAGGAAAAGCTTACACAATGAAGTACCACAGCCACACGCAATACTGTACAAGCATTCTGGGGCACCATCAGGGGGTCCAACCTTTTCCAACAGCGTGAGGGCAAGGCAGCTCCATCATTGGCTAATCTTTGGCAGGAGAGAGCCAGTCATCTCTGCGTTCTCCTCTCATCCCACAACTAACCAAACACTGTGCTGTTAGTACCTCTGATATGCTTTGTTTATCAGGCCACCTGGACCTGCATCTGGTCAGCCAGGGAGTACGCCTGTCAATAGCACAGCCAGATGGACGTGCATTAATAACTGGGTCTTATGTGCCAAAATCACAAGCTGCACATGCTGACTATTCAGGCAGTTCTGAAGTTTCCGAAGCCCTGTATTCAGTGCTGAGTGCGCTGAAGGAAATGCTGATTAGGGTGATGGGAACAGCAGAGAGTCAGACATTCTTTAATTACTTTGCACTAGTAATTCAGGTCAGTACTTCAGTGTCCCGCTTCCTGTGCTAATAGACATATTACATAATAGCCTCCAAAGAGAAAGAGGTTTGACACGATGTAACCTTTCCGAATAATAAAAGAGATGTGGAGAAATAATAATGAGTCCCCTTGATATGAGACAGGAGATATTTGAGCTTCATAATAAGGCGGATGGCCATCCCCCGTGATTGAAAGGCAAGTGCACAAAGCATGGAGAGCATGTTACATAATGAATGTCTTTATTCAAATGGGCCTAATAGGCTCATGTTAGCGGCTCTACACAAACTAAGAATTTGGTTGAGATGATGAAATCTAAAAACAGTGTTTTCCAAGTATTGACTAAGGCCACGCTACACAGGATAAATTAGATTTCCGGGGATAAACACATCTCCTCTTGCAGAATTTGTGTTCAAAGTTTACCAAGGCAACAGGCTGTGATGCAACTGTACATAATCTGCATGTAGAGCACAGTTTGAGGCACAGATAAAATGTTGATATTACACACCCTGCAGGGCTCTAACTTTGTAGTTTACGTTACAAAGTCAATTATTTCGTCATTCCTTCTGTACAATCTCTTATCATTTTAGTCCATCTGGGGTTACCAATTTAGAGTATGTATTGACCTATTTCCTCTTCATACCTTACCAATTTAAGTTCTTATATTATGTCCCTTCTACTTTTAAGTGTTTGGACACACATATCTATTCAGAGAGTTAACACTATGGAAAACCTGACTTTAGTATTTGACCTGGGTTCTTCAAATAAATGCGAGAAAACTGTGTCAGCAACATGATGGTAGCCTCATATAGAAGGACAGGGTCGGCTCTAGAACAAATCGAATGGGGGGGCAATCATTTACCAAGGGGGGGCACACACTGCCGTCAACAACCAACACACAAACACCAACGCAACTTCAATTAAAAAAAACATGCTGTAAAGTCTATTGTCTTTCACACACATTGAGGGGTGTATGTGCTATTTCCTAGCGCACCTATGACTTGTGCATACATGCACGGTTGTGGCACGACCACCAAAACAGAAACATATGGACATAGGCCACCATATGAAAAGTGTGCAAATGTATTTTGTATCCTATCCATGTGAACATGTTTTAGGTGGGGGTGGACCTAACCTCCTCTAGGAGGGTCTGGGGGCATGCTCCCCCAGGAAGATTATTTTTAAAATATTGAAGTTAAATGCATCAATCTGGTGCACTTTGAGAGCAAAATGAAGAGATCAATGGATAGCCTACATCTCTCAGCATTCATATGAAACAGAACTGTACACAGATTTATTTGTTCTTTATGGATATTTTACTAATCACTCCCCTTTTAAACTGTATTCTTGTGTTACTGTCCTATAGTATTTCATACCCGTTTTTCATTTATTCTCTTATTTTTTTAATAACTAGGCTATAGGCTAATGATCATATACATGTGTTCCTCGCAAATACTTGTTTACATAAATGGTGACCAAACCGTTTGAGACCCACTGAGATAACTTACACTAAAGTGAACTATCTAAACACTGAGAGTCCTTACCTCACTGAGCTGAGGTTATACGATCCTCTCAGTCTGACAGGAGAGGACTCTCCTCCACCTTGGTGTAGAAACAGCTCTTTATATCTGTTAGCATAGCTAGCTAACCGGATGCTAACAACAACATTCCACGTTACCGCTCGCGCACTCACAAAATGCGATCGTGCCACACACACACAGAGCCGAGCTTGAATGAAACACAGAGACCCAGAAGTAGGCTACTTGTACTGTACTGTATATCATATTATTTTCGATGGCTTTACTGTATAATCAGTGTAACAGATGAACAGATTGCCACCGGCTTTCATCTAAAACACACAGCCACGTAATGATAACAAAACAAAAGTCGGGGGTCATTGGTCAAGCAACACACCAATCAGAGAGCAGCAGTGAGCACACCTCAGGCTGTGTTTTATATTTGTATTCTTTATTTCTGATGTATTTCACACAAAAAACCTTTAGTGGAAACGTTTTCACTTCTATGATTAAAAAAAAAAAACGGCAAAGTGGCAAGGCTTGCCCACCCTGCGTTGGGGGGGCACAGTGACTCATTTGGGGGGGCATGGCCCTCGAATGACCCCCCATGACGCCGACCCTGTAGAAGGACAAATGAGCTATTATACAAATTAGAATTTCTCTACTCAGTTGATAAAGTCATGTTTATAAATGTAACCAAAATAAAAAGGTTATTATAATCAGTAGAGTGCATTTCATTTAAATAGCTAATTAAAGACATGTTGACTGAGCAGTAGACGCAATCTCGTCTTTATTAGTATAATTTAGTTTTGAAAATTGTTTTAGATGCATGCTACAATTATTGGAAGCTAAAATAAAAAAATTCATTTATTTGAATTGTGTCTGTCCAATTAAATTCTTTAAAGCAGCATCCCTTTGTTGTGAGCGATATTCCAGATGTTGAACAGCTAAATCCTACTTCGAGGAACAATTTATTGTATGTTCGAGGAAGCATCTCATGACATTTCTAAGCATGAACCTGTACTAAAAGGGCAAAATTAGTTCCGTAGGCCATTTTTTGAGACTCACTTAGTTGGCTCTGGATGACAATAATCTTCAGTTTCTGGAGCGAGAGGAAAAAACCCTCAATATTGTCCTTTAACCCAGATTCCTGCTGGTCTCATGCTCCATCAGGCAAAAGCTTGGTGACCGCTGTCATATGGAGCGGATGATGGGATGAATGTTTGCCACCCTGCTCACCACTACCTGCCTCTAAGTGGTGACACCTCTCACATCTGCTAACTCATTATTACAGCCACCGGGAGGAAAAAGCTCTCACGTGCTGAACTGTGTAGGATCACATGTACTCACACACAACTGATTTGCAGCTGAGTAAGTGAGGGCGTGCACTGTGCGTATTGTTACACACAAACATTATTCTGTTATTCTGTGATCCTGCTTCTCAAACACCGCCCAACTTTCTGCCAAAGAGTGCAGAGTAAAAACACTCCAAACTCCAGCTTGTATCCGACCGGAGCCAAGCAGAACTGGACTAGAGAGCGGGTCTATTTAAAGGACTTAAGAGGCCGTCCAGATGCTGAACTTTGTGGTATTCCATTTATTCCCAGTACTCAATGTCCTGGCCAATGATATCCGAGTAACATCCGGTGAGCCGGGGAAATCCTGGGTCTCAGTGCTGCCAGCGCTGCCAAGAACCCTGATGTCAGATTGCAGAAATGAAATGCTGCCTCTCAGGCAAGATCTCATAACAGCCGGCCGGATCAATATTCACTTAACTTTACTGTTTCAGAGGTGCTTTACTGGGGATTATGTGGGCTGAGTGGTGTCAGAGTTTCAACGACATGATATGATATTATACGCTATCATGAGTTAATATTTCTAGTCTTGGGAGTTTACTTTCGATATCAATGAAAAATACCACATTTGTGGGATCAACCTATAAATATTCAATTTCATAAATGTATTTTGATTCATTTATGTGTGTATCATAGACTGTATATTGTGTGTGCATGTAAATATTAATATATGTGAACATATTGGACACTTTGCGGTAGTACTGATTCATTCATTTATTCCAATACAAGTATATAATACATTACTATGTGCTTAGGGCGAATAAAAAAAGAAATCTGCACCTCATTTACCTTAAACCTTAAAGCCAGTAGCATTATAGTCTTTACATCTGATTCAACGTGGTTGGACATTCTTTAAAAAAAATAATAAGATAATGGAAAAAGATATTTTCCATTTCATCCCTGCAACGCTGGTGCTGGAACTTCTGTGGTTACTGTTAAAAGTGCTCAGAATGAATTCAGCCACAATGTGAAGAGGAGGGAAATAACATGAGTCTCTTAATGTAAGCTTTTGCTTTATATAATTATCAATTTTTTTAATAAAAACACATTTTTTTGTACATTTACAAACATGGTAGAGGAGAGAACATGGTCTGAAAACAGGAAGGAGACATATACTTTAAAGACTGTCTGCAGCAGTGAAAGTAAACGGATAATGTACATATAATGTTCTTTTCCCCCGGCACAGGAGAGTCTCTGAGGTCAGCGACTCACAGCCCACATTTCCCACAAAGAACCCCACCTTAACAACTACTTGTTTGTATATATTTGTGTTATTATGCTGTACAAATGACAGTTCTTCAAATAACCTACAGGCTGCAAGTCCCTGGGGTTCACCTCGTGTTTTTCAGATGAAAAAGGTGTTTCAGGACAGCAGGGTCTGGACCTGCTGAGGGGATCTGGGCAGCAGGTTCTCCAGGTCTTTGTAGCTGTTAGCTGGGCTGCTCAGCGCCGAGTAAACCTCCCCGTAGGCTCTGCACACCAGCTCTGTGGACTGACGGAAGATCTGCTCCCTGCACACACACACACACACACACACACACACACACACACACACACACACACACAGACAGATACAACTCTTACCATTTTGCACTCACAGAACAAAGTGGCAGCAGTGAGTTGGCCTTTAAATCCCAACATTTCTAGAGTAAATTAGACGAGACAACCTCTGTTGTCATTAGTCACTGATCAAGAGCTGATTAACAAAGCCGTGAGTAAGAATTTGTCCTAATTACTTTTCCTTTTTTTTCTTCAGTGACCATTGAATGCTCCGGCTGTGACAAAACAATGAGTGGCAGGATGTGGTGCACACTGCCATCTATGGACACATATTCCACCATTAATGAATACGCATCAGGTGTCAGCCACAGGAATATAGACTAAAGAAAAGACTCTTCAAATGAGATGTCATCATTCATCTATTGCATAGTAAACATTTAAATGTTATGGATTTCTCGACCCATCACTTAATACGTTTCAAATCAAATGTTCTTCAGATTTGTGTTTGAATTAGTCCATGAAAAGGATGTTATTTAGCAAATATATTGATAATCAAGTCATGTTGCAGTCATTTTATAAGCATAAATGTCAGTAAATGTCCTGCTTCGCTTGGTCTTACATAGAAAATATAGTACATTTTATAGTTTGTAAAAAAAGAGGTGGCTTTGCTCTTTTCTTTATTGTTTTTTCAAAAGCATTTCTATGGAAACTAATTAGTTAAAACATATTTAGTCTCTTTGGATTTTGTTTATTCATTTAGGTCTACATCATTTTCTTTATTATTTTATTTAGCAATAAGAACGACGTGTACCGTTAAGTGAGGGACATCATGTGACTGCTTCTTGCAATGTAGTGCAAACAGAGGATACTGAAAAAGACTAGGAACCAGTCCTCTCAGGCTCTTGAGAAAAAATTGTTTTAATTGGCCCACAGAGGAGAAAGAAACGCAGTCCTGCGTATAACACCTTACTCCACACCCAGGACACCAACAATAAAAGTAAAACAACGGTAGTCTAAAAGTACATTGCCATTATTGGTGGGCAGCCGGAGTGTTTTCAGAGTGCTGCGGGTGTTTTTGTGTATTTAGGTGAGCAGAGAGGCAGACTTGAGAGAGAGAAAAAGACAAAGAGGAGGAATGATTTCAGGGAACGAGTGTGAGTGAGAAATGGACCAGAAGCTAATTAATGGCGTCCTGCCCATCAGTCCTCCCATGTCCATTAATAGAGAACATTAACCTGAGGTACAGAGTGCTTCTCAAGCCTGCTGCACTTCCCAGTAAACGTGACTCATAGAAAGAGCTCTCCGATGTAGCAGCTGGATTGAGCTAAAAACATGCGCATGTTCTGATCAGTAAGACAGGCGGTCCGGCCGAACACTCTCACTGTGTTTTAGGCTTCAGCAATTTAGCATCCAAACTCGCCATGCATTTAGTCGAGTGTTTTGTTTGGAATGCAGTAATGATCGTATTGCAGCAGGGAAACATGTGTAGGCCAACGCTCCTGTTCTATTTATACCAGTCTGAAATTCTCTGTTGAAGCATCACGCCATTTTATAAACATTTGAAGCTCGAATATCGCATGTTCTTACTACTGTCAACTAAGGACAAGGGCTCACTTGATGGCTGCACTGAGCAGGAAGTTGAGCTGGGGCATCACAAGAGTGTCCGGCGACGACAAGTAGCGATCGAACTGGACCTGTTGTTTGAGAGAGAGATGTGAGCAGGTGATGATTCAAAGAATCACAATCATCAAGGGAGAAGGTACCATTCCTGCAGGTGGAGTTGCTGCATTTATACACAGAGAGCAACTCACCATTGCAGCTTTCACAGAAGAGCTGTCCATGCTGGGGAGGAGGGAGAGGGGACCCTGAAACAGAAAAGTAAACATCAGCATAGAATCCAACTCAAGGTCACAGTGTTTGAACAGCAGAAAGTCAGGTGGTCCTTCATTCAGTCGCGTTTAGACTACAGGCTGTGTTAAAACATTTACCCCCTTTAATGTTTGTCTACATTGCCCTCAGCAGTGGATACAACCGGAGGAGGCTGGCCGCGATTATGACTTTACCTCCGGCCCCATAAACGGGTAATAAGGATAATTTATTTGTCTTTGGTTACGGGGGAGGGTTTTTAAAAAAAAATCGTTTTATCATTGAGGTTTACTCCTTCTAACCTTCCATGAAAGGAAGATGATTTACACAAGGGCAGGACGATATGATCTGGATCATAATAAAATGTCACATTTATCTCAATGAGTATAATAGGTGCATGTGCAGTACAGGAAACGTTCTTTATTGTGCTGGATTACAATTTACATGGCTTATTATTCACGGCAAAGAGAGGAGGTCTAGGGAGAAAAGGGATTTATAGTTGTTTTGATTTAATAAGGTTTATTTTCAGCGACAAGCATATTTATCGGGGGAACACAATGTGTTTTATAAAAGCTGTAAATGCTGAGTCTTGATTTTTAAACAGGAAAAACAAGACCAATTCCCTGCCTAAATCTTGAAAGGCAATAAAATGACTAACTCTGTGAACCGAACAGCCGGTACCTTAAAGGCAATTACGCGACACTGATTATCCAGAATGGCAACACTAAGTCGAGCTTAAACGCCTAAATTGCCAACATTAAAAGCAGCAAATAAAAGGCAGTGCAAGGGTCAAAGCTACAGCGCAGCACCCAGAGTGATTACATGGGGATGTGGGCACATTAACAAACACATTATGAGCCTGCTCATCTGCCAGCTAAAACCAGTGTTGTTTTAATCACTGTTTTCTTGTGTCTGACTTGTTTGTCTGACGTATCACAGATAATTACAGGGATACAATAAGCAGATAGTGAAATGAAACCTTTTTAAACGTGGGTATTCTTTAAAATAGTTGACATCTGGTATGCCATCGAGTGTGGAGAGCTAGACCCAATCCTTTTAAACAGAAGACTATTTAAAGGAAACCCGAGACGAGCCACCCGAGGAGAGAGGTATTCTGCAGAAGAATGACAGTTCTTGATTGAGCTCTGCATGGAGCTGCAGCAGCGGGGTGTGGTGTGTCCTGACATGACCCTGGCCTTCAGACTCGCATGCTAAACCACAACTATGGGTCTTAGTCAGCCCAGTGGCAAAGAGTGTTGAAAAGAGGGAGGAAGGCTCTGGCATCGGCTCTCTCATCTGCACGGCAACATTCTGGAGAAGCTAAAAGAATATCTGCAAAAGAACATAATATGATCTGCTCCTCTCTGTCTCTCATCTAAACATGTGATAGAAATGCTATTAAACCCTAATAACGAGATTGGTCATGTGGTAACCATAGCGATAGTTAGTGTACAGCCCAAAGAGTTAGTGGAAACAATTATGTTAGGTAGTAGGGGGGCTTACAGGAGAGATGTGATAATAAAAAAAACACAGTTCTGCAACTTGAAGTGTGTGTAAATGGGTAAGTGTTGTTTGTGGGACCTGCTCAGCGCTATGCTGCTGGACGATGCTGTAGAAGTAACTCAGTCCGGCTCTGGTCAGCACGAAGGACGCCTGCTCGTTGATCAGAGTGTCAAGGTGGGCCTCGATCTGTGTCATGTGGGAGAGAGTGGCTTAGCCTCGTGTCCAAGCGCACATTGTGAGCCGATGGTACTTGAGGCTAATAGAGAACCTCGGTGCTATTGATAATGAAACTTCCACAGGAGCTCTCATGGTGCAAAAGGTGGGCTTTAAATAGAGGATAGGTGCTACATTTGAAAGTGAGCAACAATGCATGACGCACACCCTTCTATGAGACAGCAAATTAACAATTGTTTTAATAAAAGATGTATGCTCTATGGGATTTAATGAAAGGAACAAGACTCATGTTGAATGAACAATGCCCCTACACACGGACGATTATGTTGTTAGCTAGGTTCTAATGTTGGATGGCGTTAGTGTTCCATGTGTCAGTCCAATTATCTAGTCCAACCAAGGTCCGTCTTTATTTGTTTTATGCTCTTGAAACACTTTAATAGAATTAAATAGATGCCTAAACCATGAAAGAAAATCTAAATCACTTTTAATTGATTGATAATTATTTACAATTAAGACAAACCTGGAACTCCAGCATCTCAAGCCTCTTGTCAGTGAACTCAAAGAGAGCCAGGGTGGTCTTCATGACATACAGTGAGTTGACCATGTAGGAAGCCATGTCTGCAGTGCCGAGGTTACTGGCAGACACAGTGCATAACTGCAGGAGAGGATCCAGGATGCAAGAGAGCACCTGGGGAAATAAAAGAAAGCCTTAAGAGACGAGGCAAATATCAATGGCTTGGATAAACAGGTAAGGTAAACACATTTAACACATTTTGATATGATTATATAGATCAGGGGTGCCCAACCAGTCGATCGCGATCGACCAGTCGATCGCGATCGACCAGTCGATCGCGATCGACCGGTCGATCGCGGGGAGATTCCCAGTCGATCGCGAGATGTGTCTAAAAATAGAACAACAATATTCTGTTTTATCATTAATGTCCTGTAACATAATCTTCCTGTGCAAGAATAATGCACTTGAACGCATCAAAGCTTTGTGATTGGCCGGCGTGACCCCATGTGTCGGGGCGTGGCTGGTGAGCAGTGGGCAGTGCACTAGTTCGCTAACGTTGTCCGTGTCAACAGGAGTGACAGTCCGCACACACACAAGACCGCAATTATGGCAGAAGCAAAACATATATAATTTTCACTCCGAGTGGGAGGATGATTATTTTTGTATCTATTCCAATTCAAAGTGCATCTGTCTCATCTGCAATACGAGCGTGGCTTTATCGAAGAAGGGTAATTTAGGAGCGGCATTTCAAAACAGTGCACAAACGCTACGAGACGGAATTCCCTCCTAATTCTGCCCTACGCTCCAAAAGGGGAGGGGCCTGAAAGGGGAGCTAAATGCACGGCAGTCCATTTTCACCCGGCCCAACAACAAGAGCAAGGCTGCTACCAGAGCATCTTATCGTGTCAGTCACGTTCTTGCGAAACACATGAAGTCTTTCAAAGACGGCGAAGTTGTGAAAGAAGCATTCCTGGAGGCTGCCGGCGCGTAATACAAATAACAGCAGCATTTCAACAGGTTTTTGATATGATAAAAACTCAAGTTAGATACCGTTATTAATCAGCTGTAAGTTTGAGTTTGTTTGAACTTATTCATTATAATTATTGTACAAAATGGTATAAGAATGCAAACTTAAATTGATTATAGTCTATTATCAATTCAGGTTAAGAAGCTAGTGTTGCTTGCATCCTATTTTACAGGCATTTATTTTTATAATCTACTAAAATGCAACAAAAAAGGGTTTGATTCTATTAATGTTGTCTTTTTTATTGCACTGTTGCAGCAGATTCCTGTGTAGCTTCAGATCTGAGTTGTCTTATTGGTAAGCCTCATTTATACTTTTGTAGCAACACTATTTTTATATAATGGCAAAGAAAGGGTTCAGTCTTTTCTTTTTTTCCTGTGTCATATGTGGCAGCACTGTTCAATGTTTCTTGAATACATTACCCACTTATAACAACACTGTTGTGTAACTTCAGTTCAATACTTGTATGTGTGTAGATTAGAAAGAGGTAAGATAAAGGATCTGCAGTGTTTTATAAAGTATTCATCGTACAAAGGTCAGTTTTATACAAGTAGAAGTGTGTATTTACCTGGTAGTAGGCTGTCAGTAATGGCTACGCCTCTCTATTTGGACTGGTAGATCTCGGCAGACTAGCAACTTTAAAAGTAGCTCTCGGTTCAAAAAAGGTTGTGCACCCCTGATATAGATAATAAAAAGAGAGAAGAGTTTTCCTTTTTCTGTTTTAAAATGAGTTTACCTGAGCAAAGTCAGCCTGGCGGGCATCCAGAGGAACCACTGAGGAATCGTGGGAGGCCAGCACCTCCCTGAGGAGGGAAAGGGTCTGCGTGAGGGAGGCTGTGGGTCCCAGGTCTGCGGGTGGTAGCTCCACCTGCCCAGACAGACACGGTCAAAATAAGTTTTATTAAGTTAGACAAAGAGCAAAGTTATTCTTGCAGAGGTTAGCTGTGTGACGGCTGTAGCGTTTACTGAGACAAGCGGTGACACATTCTCAAAGCATCCTTAATGAGCAGCATGATAGACCAACCATACACACACTTCCCGCTGCTACTCTGAGCCCCAGCTTGTTCAGTCACTAGAGCTTTTTTTAATGAAGAGGGTTTTGATTTCATTGGCTTCTGGATACACAACACAGAACTGATCCAAGTCACTGTTGTCCACCTAATAGAGCAAATTATGAGAAGCCTGTGTTCCTGGCATTGGATTGAATTTACACCAAAACCCTGAGGGCCTCCAATGTGATTAACACCGAGCTACGGGGATCATTCTTGTAACTGCTATCGATCAGGACAAAGCCTGCATGTTATATGGAAGAGCTACCGCTCGTGCTGAGGTATATTTGGATGGCAATTTAACCAAGCGGTACATTTGGTGTTTTTTGGCAGCTCGTGCCATTTTGATGGTGTGGCCAGCAGGCTGAAACTGTTTACCGGCATAAGCGCTTCAAAATAGCCTTGTTGTCTTTGAGGGTTTCAAAGCAGAGCTGAAATACACAATATGTGTCCACAGGGTGCATACTCAACTTCTGCACTGTCCTTTAAGCTTTTATGAGAGAACATTGCAAACTGTCTCTATTGGAAAAACAAAGCTTCTTCTTCTTTTGGTGATGGTGTTGTTTTACTAGCATTTTCTCACAACCGTAGAAGATAATAGAAATAATGGGGATATTATTAAAATAATAATCTTCCTATTCATGTATTCCTATTCACCTCCTTCAGACTATCGCTCCTGATATTCTACCGGTTCTCACCCATTTCATCAACACTTCTCTAACTTCTGGTCACTTTCCAAACAGTCTCAAGGAGGCAAGAGTAAACCCTCTCCTAAAGAAACCCACTCTCAACCCGTCTGATGTTATAAACTACAGGCCTGTCTCTCTCCTCCCGTTCCTGTCTAAATCACTTGAACGCGCTGTCTTTAAACAACTCTCCTGTTATCTCAATCAGAACAACCTTCTGGATCCGCACCAGTCTGGTTTCAAGGCAGGTCACTCCACAGAAACTGCTCTCATAGCGGTCACGGAGGAACTGCACACTGCCAAAACTGAATCCCTCTCCTCTGTCATCATCCTGTTGGACCTGTCTGCTGCATTCGACACGGTGAATCATCAGATCCTCCTTCGCACTCTCCAAAAACTTGGAGTTTCAGGCTCTGCACTTTCCCTCCTCACCTCATACCTGAAAGACCGTACCTACAGGGTGACTTGGAGAGGGTCTGAGTCCGACCCTTGTCAATTAACTACGGGGGTCCCTCAGGGCTCTGTTCTTGGTCCCCTCCTCTTCTCCCTGTACACAAACTCGCTCGGATCAGTCATTAGCCCGCATGGTTTTTCTTACCACTGCTACGCTGATGACACCCAATTAATTCTGTCCTTTCCCCGCTCAGAGACCCAGGTCGTCGCACGCATCTCTGCTTGTCTAGCTGACATCTCTCAGTGGATGTCTGCTCACCACCTCAAGCTCAACCTTGACAAGACTGAGCTGCTCTTCCTTCCGGGAAAAGATTGTCCAACTCTTGACCTGACAATCAACATCGGCACCTCAGTTGTTTCCCCGACTCAGACTGCAAGGAATCTGGGTATGACCCTAGATAACAACCTGTCCTTCACTGCAAACATCGCTGCTACAACCCGCTGCTGCAGATACACGCTTTACAACATCAGGAAGATACGTCCCCAGCTGACTCAGAAAGCGACTCAGGTTCTGGTCCAGGCTCTCGTCATCTCACGCCTAGACTACTGCAACTCCCTCCTGGCTGGTCTACCTGCATGTGCCATCCGACCTCTGCAGCTCATCCAGAATGCAGCGGCTCGTCTGGTTTTCAACCTTCCTAAATTCTCCCACACCACTCCGCTCCTCCGCTCCCTTCACTGGCTTCCGGTAACTGCTAGAATCCACTTCAAGACACTGGTACTTGCTTACCATGCTGCGAATGGATCTGGCCCTTCCTACATCCAGGACATGGTTAAACCGTACACCCCAGCGCGTGCACTACGCTCTGCATCAGCCAAACGACTCGTTGCGCCCTCGCTGCGAGGGGGACCCAAGTTCCCATCGGCGAAAACACGTGGGTTTGCTATCCTGGCTCCAAGATGGTGGAATGAGCTCCCCATTGACATCAGGACGGCAGATAGCTTGCACATCTTCCGGCGCAAACTGAAAACTCATCTCTTTCGACTCCACTTCGAGCGCTAGAACGATTAACGAAGCACTTTTATACTAATAAAGGACTGGATTACCTAAAGCCAGTTGAGTAGCACTTGAAATGTTTGGCTCTATGAAACCTGATATACTTATATGATTCTGTTTTCTTCAAGGTTGTGTCTTCCTGGTCGAATGTACTTATTGTAAGTCGCTTTGGACAAAAGCGTCAGCTAAATGCAATGTAATGTAAAATGTCATGTCGTACCTTGTCCATCAATCTGCTTGCGTGCATGCTCAGGCTGTTGAAGAACATCTTTTTGCTGAGGATGTGCATTTCTTCAATATTGATGAGCAAGGAGGCCACACTCGTTCCAATGATGGAGCTGCACAAAGATCAAAGATTGATCAAAAATGGTGACTTGAAAATAAAAAATGGCAGCAAAAAAAGAATTGTTTTGTCCAGCTGACTTCCCCAAATGTTTTGGAAAAAAGCTAATCAATATATTTAATTGATCAATGATACACAAACAAAAAGCAGCTTATTCCCATATAAGCAATCAAATTAATCAAAGTATGTTTTGCTTTACAGATGACTTAAATGATTGACTGATTCTAAAAATAAATTGAGGGAAACATTTATAAATTGTTGCCCTATTTTGCCGAGTCAGTTGAAATACCTGATGGTGTGGTGGTAGAACTTGAGCAGGTTGGACAGCTTGTAAAGCAGGACAGCTCCGGGCTCCGCCACAATGACTTGTTCAATCCGAACCTGAGGGACAGATGACACCGTGAAGATGTGAGCAGAACTCAACTGAACACGGTCTGCATTCAACAGAGCTAGTCAGTGTTAGCAGTGTGAACAAATGCCTTGCTCAGGGACACCAAGTGCTACCGAGGTGTCCCTGAGCAAGGCACCGTTCCCTACACACTGCTCCCCGGGCGCCGTTCATAATGGCAGCCCACTGCTCCTAACACTAGGATGGGTCAAATGCAGAGAAACCATTTTGTTATATAGTAAGTAGGCCTACTGTGTAATGACAATAAAAGTATATAAATAAAAATTTAAAAAAAATTAAAAATGTGGTGCTTACTTTAAGCGGCCTGCAGACTCCCTCAGTGATGTGTCCAACCGACTCCTGCATGTTCTCCTCCACACCTAAGTGAAAGACACACACAATTAGTCAAGGCTATTGAGGAATTAATTCATACATAAATATATAGAACAAGGAGTCAAATGTAATATGATAATCATATTACAATGAACTAAAGAAAACTAACAAAAAGGTGCCAGGAGATCAATTAGGACAATTAAATGGACTCTAAATAACATTAAATGGACTCTAAATAACATTAAATGGACTCTAAATAACATTAAATGGACTCTAAATAACATTAAATGGACTCTAAATAACCCCAATGAACAATAACAATCCACCACACCTTGAACTTTATGTTATGATATGTCTTTGCCCTGTGCGTTGTACTTTTTATTGTATGTTGAATTGTATGGAACAAGCTGTAATACTCTGCACTGACACGAATTCCACCAGCCTGGCTGTGTGGTCATTAAAGATTCTAATCTAATCTAATCTAATCTAATTGATAGCCTGGATGTGATAGCCTCACATTTTTTTTTTAAATGGAGCTGAATGATACCCCTACTGTGCTGCGTTCACTGCTGACTGCTATAGAAAGTTAGATTAGGAACACAACAACAGGATCAGTCATCAGCTGAATTAGATGTACTGGAATTAGATCCGTTTACACTCACAAATGTTGATTTCCCATACTCTATCCAATAAACAAGTTACCATTGTGACATTTGTTTACAAGCACCTACGCTTGCAATATATACCAAATCAAAAACTCAACAAAGCAACTGAGACGATAAAGGCAATATTCAATGAAGAAAAGGAAAAAAGCTGTAGTTGCATTTGTACATGAAGGTTTGGCATGAAGTGGGAATACTGGAGAACTGCAGAAAATGTCATTAGAAGCAGGAAACGTCATACCTTGCACAGTGACTTGTTTGAGCAGAGCTTCAAGGTGCTCTTTCTCTGAGGCGGTGGCTTGGTGCAGCCAGGCCAGCATGTCCCCAACATACCTGAAAGATGTACACAGTGTGTCAGTGAGGGGCCACGCTGAGGGTAAATCTTACCATGCCCGGACCACAGCTCCATCCAGGCATGGCTCATCATGTTTCACTCACAAACACACGGCTTTTGGTGTTGCGTAACGGGGGAAAACAGAAAGGTTAAACTTGAATTATTGTGTGTTAAGTGTATGAGTGTGTGTTTGTGAGTGTGTGATGACATAGAAAGGTGAGAGAGGACTAGATGTTCTCAGAACTACTGATGGCTGCTATAAAGTGGAGGTGATTTTGTGTTCCACACACGGCTCATGTTCTAAGAAAATCTCCCATTTGGCTCCCGGGCACCTGAGGCAGAGGGAAGGGGATGTGGTACAACAGGAAACACAGAAACACTCACACACAAATGAAGATTTTACATCTTCTAGAATTGGATATGATTGGATTAAAAAAAACATTGCAATATTTACAGAAACTGAATGGATTCTAAATGTAATTATTAAACACATTGTCAACAAGAGTTACACCAGTTTCACAGGGTTATTTTGAGTACCTTTCCGTTTTTTAAATGTGCATTTCTCTGAGAACATAAAAATGAAGCTGGCCTGAGCCAACAAATGTTATTTGTGTAACAGGAAGAAAATAGATTTCTGTATAAATGTATACTAAAAACATTTGTGTAATAAGTGTCTACAAGTAGTTTTATCGTGATTGAAAGTAACCTTTACCTTTGTGTGTTAATTTACTTTCAAAAACAGAATAATCTTACACAAGCTTTTCTCTACTTCCATGCCCTTAATTGCGGCACTGCCTTCATTAACACAAAGTGGACTGGATCCTAACATTATCACCATATAATCTGAACCAATAAACACGTTATTAAATAAAACCATTGTTTCCATGTGAATGTCTTTGAGAGTATAATGTCGTTTTTAATTTATTGTATCATTTGTGAGCATGAGTGGTTGTGTCCCCAATGTAAACAGTTGACAATTTGAAACAATCAAATAATTTGTCAAAAGTGATGTTAGACTGACTAAATACATAATAAATAATAATAACAACTTGTTTTTCCAGTATCTAATGAATTATGTAGATGTTGCTTTTTTTCAGGTGAGATTTATCTTCGATTTTGTAGATATCCTTTAACCGACCTTAGATTCAAACTCCTTATTCAGTATGCCTTCAAACTCACTGCAGAGAGATGATCCATGAGTTTCTCAAACTCAAGGTCTCTTTTCCAACAGAACCAAAAGCTCCTTGTGATTTAATTACAGTAAGAAAAGGCAATGTTTTGCTCAAACATGTGATGTACCTCATAGGGTCATGTGAATGCATCTCTATGGGGCGTGGCGTCCCTCCTATCCCACCGCGGGTGAGGGCGTCGATGAAGCCTCGCACCACCGCACACCTGCGTGCAGTCCCAAACTCATCCAGAGTGTATCTGACCAAAACAGAAGAGAAAGAAAGCCGTGTGAAAAAGACGGCAGCAGCAGTGTTTTTGTGCAGGCTGAGTGTCGGAGGTCAGTCCGTGACACGATCAACAATGCAGGCCAAATAATCAAAACACCCTCAAAGCTTTCCCAAAGGGGAAAGCTTTGAGGGTGTTTTGATTATTTGGCGGTGGCAGGCTCTGCGACAGACTAAACAGAAGATTGAGTTGAATTAAGATTCCGGGAAACGCTGGTCTGCACCGTCTCAGCCTCAACATCACCAGACTGAGCATGACCTTGAACTGAGACAGGTGCATGTTCAGAGAAGACAGACAGACGGGCAGAACAAGGGGCTGCAATAAAAACATCTTCACGTGACAGGGTAACGTGTGAAAATGTCCTCTGGTGCGTATAAATCATTTGCATGGAGACTGACAGCAAATGCTTTTAAAACGTTTTTCTTTTCTTCAGTATTTGTGCTTGCCTTTAAATAAAAGTGAGTAATGGGCATTAGCAATCCATTATGTGCTTCAATCATTTCAGAGCACTTAAAGAACAATTCAAAACAAAGTAGACCAAAGGGAAATCACGAATAAAGCTGCTTTCCGTTTACAAGGAAAATGAATCTCACCCAACGCACTGTCCTTACTTGATAAGAACAGAATGATTTCAATCTTAAACCCTTTTGTAATTTAACTGTTAGGGATATCTTTGGACTGAATTGTGCAAAATACACACTTGAAATGAAAACTTCTCATATGATATTTGTAAAGAAAATGTAGTTTGTTACATTGCTGATTGTTCTGTTTTTTTAAGTGGATCTGCACTCTCATTCTGCTGGCGTGATGATGGCCTAATGTTCTGTTGCTTCAGGCTGTTTGCTCTGTGGTTTCCAATCAGAAACCACTTGGTTTCTCTCACCGAAAACCTCATTGTGACAAGGATCTTCTTGGCATCAAGTGTTCACGATTCCACTGCGAGGAGCCCGCGGAAGAAAGTAGCAGATTGAAATGCAGAGCCTTGTAATCGGTAGGGGAAGAGGCATTTCATTTCCAAGTTAACTAGCATGTATTGCTGCTCCTATGAGCTTATCTTACTTTGTATTACCTCTGTAAAGTGTCTTTGAGCTCTTGATAAATCAAATGTATTATTATTATGACGCATGTCAGTGAAGTATAGCGGCTGTTGCTATCTGGCAAAGAAAGTAAAAATAAGTGGTTTGCAGAATTATTTGGGGCTACAGTTTTTATCAATTTGAATAAATGAATATTAATCCCTTGATATTTGTAACAGTTTAAAACATCCATCACTACACAGGTCTATTTGAACCAGCTGTTCTCTTAGAAGATGCATAAACACTGACATTTAGAGAAAGGTAAAAGAAGCGTCAGGCGACACAACACGCATTGTGAGTTTGTATCTTACTTATAGAGGACAGGTCGGTCTTGTAATGCTTCCATGGCTTGAGACAACACAAGGCTGATATCACAGGACTCTTGGGTCAGTCCTCTGCACTCATCTTTGTAGAAAGAAAAAACACAAGACAAGCAGCTGCAGTTTCTCTGGTAAATCTTCTTGTGTTTGTGTGCTCCATTCAGTGTTGCTTAATGGTTTGGACTAAAGTAGCCCCATTGATAGGAAGCAAATCAAAGAAACAAGAAAGTGTTTCATCTTTTTTCCCATGGGCTATTCTAGTCACTCAGTCTACTTGTGAATGAGACAATACACACAATGAACAGGCAGTGGCTAATATACCAGACAGTTGGAAATATGGGTCAAACGCTCACCCCATGTGAATGGCCTCACAATTCACTCTGACAAAAGCATACTAAAATATAACCTCATTACAAAATAAACGTACCTCTACAACAGTCAAAGAAATATGGAATAACATAATAACATTCAGTTCTTTAATTTGATCATTACCAAAACTTTTACTTGACACATTTTCTTCTTTGCTGTCTTTTAGTAAACCTAAATTACAATTAAGTATTTCAGAGCAACTCTTAATTTACTATATGCCCGATTTTTACAATCTAAATGGTTCGTACTCCATATTTATTTCAATGAAAGAACACATGGCTAAGTTAAGGGAAATGTTGGTTTCTGGTAGAATTTGGCAAAGAGGTTATGAGTCACATGTATCCTCAAATGACTCCTTTTTTTTTACTGACAACAGAAACATTTTGTATCCGTCTCTTTTCAAATGACAAAAGAAAGACCAATAACGAATCATCAAACAGTTAAAGAAAAGGGACACAACTTAAGACCAAAATAGACTCAAATCAATGATTCCGGTTGGAAACGTCCTTATTATTTTCAAAATGCACTCGCTTATTCGTCAGGTCCAAGGTGAGTATGGAAGGTCAGAGTGAGTCAGTTTTCTCTGTCGGTGAGCTGGTGTTATTAACTCTGCGTGGTGTACTCACTCTGAGCCCAGCGGTAGAGCTGCTCATAGGATGTCTCCTGTAACACGGCCATCTGCTCCATGATCTCTAACCTGGAACAAGCACACACACCAAGACCACATATTACATACCCATAAGCTGCAGTGACATAAATACCCAACCCAGGTGTTTTTTTTTCCACTCATCTGTTCCAACATTCAGGTTGCCAATGAATTGAACAAGAATCGGTGTAAAAGACACTGTGAGCCACTTCCTCTGACAGAATGAGACCACAGAACGACATTATGAAGTGAGACGTGCACCTCACCCTGCAGTCTGCTGGTTGGTTCTCAAGAGGATTTTCACGTCCTCGTGGATGTGCTTCACTCGGCTGAGGGCTTTGAAGAACTCCTAGGAAATTAAACACATGAATATTTTAGCCAGCAATAAAGGGTTGTAGATTTACAGAAGTAAATAAACGGTTTTTTTTGCAAACCCAACAAAATGGTAAAAATGTTTTGTGGTGAGACCAAGGATAGCATTTGTAACTCATCATGTTATGTTGATAAATATAATAAAGAGGTTCCCAGGGAAGGAAGATCAAACTATTCTCAACCATTGGACTCGACTGGCCTTGGAGTGCCATCAAGTGGGCTGCATTGGTACTGCCAAATGGTTAAATATAACCCAAAATGAAATATTTTGGTAATTTACAAAGCCAGCAAATGTTAAATAGGTCTTGAGTTACAAAATGTAAAGAGCCCATGAACTAGAGGAGCCAATTAGCTTAGCCTCTCAAGCTAAAAAACGAAAGGGAAAAGACAGTTCCAGATCAGAAACACACTGATATTGCATCCTCCCATCCCAAAAGATTATTTAATCACTTGGTATACATTATAACGTGGATTACCTCAGTGACGGGTGCATCCCGAGCCCCTCGCAGCGCGGCCATCTCCTCATTGGACAGCTGGAACTTGGCAAGGAAAGCCTGGGCAACCTGAGCTCTCACCTCCAGGCGATGACTGAGGGGAAATAAATATTGGAAGTTCATTCACTTGTCATTTTTGTAGTTTAATGATTTGTTTTTGTTTCATTGTTTCTGTTCTGTCCAGTTGGGCCTTGCTTGTCATCATGATTTGTTTTGTCTGTTTTCAAGTCCCTTGTAGATGTTTATCTCCCAAAATGACAAGGTTTTCTCTTCCATCTTTTTTCATTGAATTCTATCCCTGTTTTGTCTTTTCCTAATGTTTAAAGGAAAATACCCGTTAGCGTGGAAAACTGGAACAAAGATGTATGCATCAAGGGGCCCTATTATGCTAATGTTCAGGCTTATAATTGTAAGTTGTGCCTCGACTGTGACTTGTTTACATGCTTTAATGTTCAAAAAGTGCTTATTTTCTCATATTGCCTGTGCTGCAGCACCTCTTTTCACCCTCTGTCTGAAACCAGAGCCCAGTCTGCTCTGATTGGTTAGCTGGCCAGCTCTGTTGTGATTGGCCAACTGCTTAAAAATGAACCCCCACCTTAGAAGGTCACGTCCAATGTGTTGGAGAACTAGCCAATAGAATCTCAAGTTTTACATAGTGATGTCAATATGTTACGGGAGTAAACAAGTAGCCATTAATGCGTTTGAGGCAGGCGTTTCTGTGGGAGAGAAACTCCCTCTGGAGGGAACTTTGGGATTTTAGACCTTGCAGACCATTTACATGCACAATAACTTACATAACACACTACAGGAAAAAGAAAACCCCAAAGCATCATAGCTTTATGCTTTTAATAAAAAAAGAAAGAAAAGCAAAACGTCAACAAGCTGTAATGTTTGAAGTCTTACAGCAGAGGGCAGTCATATTACTCAAACACACATGCACACAGCTCTTGCTCACAGTGGACTCAGAGTGAGACAACAGGGCAGGACAGTAAAGATATCATGTGCCGAAGATAAATAACGGAGGGAGCCAAGACACACAAAAAGAATAGAGCCAGATTCAGGCCAGGTTTTGTCCCTATCAATAACAGCAGAGTGATCACTATCAGTGTCACTATAAGTGTCTCAACACAATAGTGTCCATGGCAACAGCCCCAGTCAAACAGGGAACTCTGTCACGGGATAGCAGAACAACAGCGAGTACTCCCTCTGTCCCCATCCATCCATCCAAACCACCTCGTCTATATTCTCTGCCCACGTCTGAGAAAACAAGGCTGCATCAGTAAATCACTGGGTTGTTTTGGTGATGGAGAAGAACCCAACATTATCTAACCATTGTCTCGCACACAGCCATTACCAGTGCTCACCCAGCTGAAAGTAAAGGGTTGTAAATCTGTTACAGGATTCTATGATTTAGTATTTCTGTGCACAGCTCGCCGAGTCTCACAGGGCTTCAAGGCATCTTTGCCCGTTATGTATTTCTATGTTGAAATGTGTCGCAACGCACAAAGACAGTTTGGGTGAGCCACCGCCTTGAATTGTATGCATAGACTTGGGGATCATACCTTAAAGCTGTACATCATTACAAGTTGGCATTATAATTAAAAACGGTAAGAGTAGTGACAGTTCTATCAATAATGTGTTAATGTTATGCAGACAGAACGCTTTCACTGTGACATTGTCAACTTCTTATTAGTAGTCAATTTTTTAAAAATAATGTAAGAGATGACAGTTTGTCTTATAAGGTATCCGTCACTGTCAAACGCACGTTAAAAAAACAACACAATTCAAGAACACCATGCCACAGAGATAACAAGTTCAAACAAAAGGCACTCAGCCACCTGGAATCTCATCACAATTAAAGAGATACATATACAAAATTAACAAGCTATGCTAATGAGGCCAGTCATTCAATTAATGCATATTAGAGAAAGCATTTCCATGTGAACATGCTTCACACAACACTTGAGCAATAGTAATATATTACCTGTAAACTGTTGTACTGTGAGGAAGCTACAGTTGGTTCAAGAAAAGTGATATTATCACTAATATGCAAATGTTGCAGCAGGCTTCAACCAACATCTAATTGAATCATCTGTTCTGTAGCATGAATCTGAGGTGCAAACAAGGGACTTCTATCATTAAAGGTTGTTGTGTTATTGTCTACAGCAGGGGAAAGAAGAAGAGAAACGCATACAGCATTGGAACTAGGATAAAAGATCCCACATACCAGTTTTATGGGACATCAAATTGATTGTCCGTCCCATCATCCTAATAATCATAAAAGCTTTATAAGCCTCATTTCATGTCACATTAAGATGCCATAGCTTGGAATTCTATTCATGAATCATTTAAGCCACATTTTGTATTTCTACTAAAGGAAGGTGCCTTTGAATTAGGTTGTGTTTGTGAGAGGGTTTGATAGACGGGTATTGACATTTGTATAGATAGATAAACTTAAAGATAAGTCGGAAAGTAAGTTCTTAATATATTTTAGTAATAATGTGATTGGCCAGGATACACACGACACTCCATTTTGATACTTTCCCATGCATATTCTGTTATTCTGTCTATGGATGTGTTGAGCTTCATGGGGTTCGGAGCACCAGCAGAGAAAACCGTTTTCAAGTATCAAACTGAGAAGTATCTTCACATCAAGGAGGCCAAGATTGACAGACCTGTTCCTCCAGGAAGTCAATCACAACAGGCAAACAGGTTGCACACGCCTGTAAAAGGTGAGGAGAGGGGCATTGTGGGAGCTGTTGCAGCGGTGCAAAGGAACAGAGGAGCAGCGGGGTCGTTTCTACAGCGCTGTCAGGACATGGCACATTCTTTTCCAGACTGCAATTACCGAATACCATGGAGAGGAAACATACTCGAGTGAATCTGCAATATCACGCCTGTAGAGACTCCAGGCTAGGGCTTCAAAGAATGAACTGAATATTTATGCTTTTTTTCAACAACATGTGCAAGGGGAAGTAAGATCCAAGTTACATAATGTTCCAGAATAGAAAGAAAACAAGTTTGGTGTGTCAGTTCCTTTTGTGTTGGGTTGTGTGTGTGCGCAGATTCTTCAACTAGGCCAATTGATTTTGTGTGTTCAAGCACAGAAATCGGTTAGGCAATATAACACAGCACAATCTCATAAACAGCTTCATCAAACTGAAACACTGAAATTACCGATGCCTGTTTAATAACCTCACAGAGCTGATGGTGCAGCACCAAGAACATCAAAACTGAGATTCCAGCAGTGAAAAAACCTTTATTTTGATTTATTTGAACTTAAACATTTGATATCTATGTAAAGAAGACATTTCTCATTTCTGACTGATAATCAAACAGAACGCATGACAAGTAGATCAACTGTTGTGTCTAAAAAGTGAAAGTCCAACCCTCTCATAAGTCGTAAACCATGCGGGTCGATTATCCATTCAAATCTATTACGGGCCACTTCAAAAAGGCATGCGTGGAAATTTGGCATTCACAGAGCTGTTAGTTAGCCACGCGCCAATGATCACAGGCACATCAGACAACCCGAAGTCACACTCACAGCCATTCCCTCATTAACAGCCAGCTGAGCCTTAATAAGGCTCAAGGGTCATTTTACACAGGTTGCCATTTACCATTTGATATCCCTGATCGTTCTATCAAGCGTTTCAGAGATCTGGATTAAGTAATGACTTACACAGAAGTCATACTGAGAGCGTTTGTTTCATTTTCTTTGAAAAATAGAAACACAGGCTGATAATTCATCTTGTGTTTAATTGTAGGAATTACTGTTGGAAACAAGTGGCTGCCTTGAAGCCAAATGCAGCAGTTGTGGTCAATACATGTATCTACATTGCTGTTTGGCATGCAGCCCAGTAGGCCTTCCGTAGCTGTGAGCGATTCAGTAATGGCTGAAGAATTCAACTAGCAGACCGACCCCTTCAGCTGCGGCGGCTCGTGAGGTCACGCGGTCCACACAAACATCCGTTAGAGACACGTTTCAACATGTTCTGCAGATAACATGTCACGCTAATGCAAAGATCACACAGTGCAGGGCAGGTGGGTAGTGTTACGTTTCATTATGGAACAACACGCAACACCTATTTAGTGCTCTTGCGGACAGCCTATTTGAACAGGACCAGCACAAAACAAAAGAGCAGCACCTCTGACAGCTGGCAGGCAAACACAGGCCGTCTCCTCCCATTGGCCAGCCTCTTCCACCTTTGCTTCTGTACACTGTCAGCAACGCGCTGCTCCTTTCCGTTTCATTAGAGCTGACAAATGACAAAGTGCCACTGGAAGATAAGATAGCAAACAGTTCAGCAAAGGCCTCGCCATGCCAGCTAAACACACAACGGGAGCATCTGTAGGGCTATACAAAATGACTGTATAAGCACACATTATGAGATAGTACTGCTAAATGAGTGTCAACAGCAAAGAAGACAATGGCATAGGACTGCAGAGGATGGTGTGACCTGAAAAATACATGACAGAGAAAACTGGAGTGGCCGGGCTGACTGGTGGACGGCTGAAGGAGGACAGCTTGACTGCACACACTTCCCCTGGCAGCTCTTCAGAGACAAAATTGCCGAAGACAAGGTCAAAACCCGGCGTGCAGACACTATCCCATCTGGCTGTGGGGGTCATTGTGGTTCTGCGGATGAAAATGTCACGGTGGCGGACAGCAGGCGCCAATGGAACCACTAAAATGTGTTTTTTTTACCTTACTAGTGTTTTGTATTGTTTTTACGTCATATGAGAGTTTTTCAGTCGGTGGCTTCTGATCTGGTTTCATTGTCTCTCGTATTACATTTGTTTCATGTCCTGTCTGTTTTTATGTATTTATGCTATGTTTTTATACAGTTGTTGATGTACAGCACTTTGTTCAACTCTGTTGTTTTTAAATGTGCTATAGAAATAAAATGGATTGGATTGGACTATGCAAAGAAAGAGACAAAGCAGGGAGGAAGCTGCAAGGGCAATGTTAAACCTCTGACCACCTACCTTCACAGAACCATGCAACTATTTGTTGGTGGCTTTTTCTGTCAGATTCAGAGCCCTCCCCCTCCTGTGTCACCAATCTATCAATTCCATGCTAACGTTATGCCAGCGGAGCATGGAATTGCCTCGGTACATCACAGCTGTAGGCAGTGTCTTTTGCCAGAAATCTACATTATCTTTGCCCCCGTCACCTCACAAGGTCACTGAGCACTTAAGGTCACAGCCGCCACAAAATGCTAATGAAGCCCATCCCAACACTCAGCTATTGGCTCACAGGAGCGGGGGGTTCATTTACACATTCCTGTCAACACTGCCCGGAAAACAAATCATAGGTTAACGACACCTAGATTAGATTTATTGGCAGCCTTTCAACCCAAAAACAATGGATTAGTATTCCAAGATGCACCGTCAGACGCGACCTGTGACTCTATGTCATGGTGAGCTCTTCATTTTGAATCTGCATATCTAATGGCTCTTAATATCTGTTGTCAGCAAATCTGATTGCACACGCTCAAACACTGATGGGCTGCTCTCCAGTCGTAATAGTCTGACTTCAACAAGATAAGGGGGTAATGCAGTGTAAACAAGAACTACTTTAATGTGTATATCAAGGCCAAACATCGCAGGACATGAGCAGTAAAAAAAAGAATGCTTTGTTAATGATGATTGCTGCCCTCCTTATGCAAATAGACAGCTGCAGGAGAAATATTCATCAACCTCATGAATCATTCATAATCCTCCTGCCCTGCACACATCTCCCACAACTTCTGACACTAAAGTTGAGCTGCATTTGACAGAGTTGAGAGAAATGTACTCACAATTAAACAAACATATTGTTTTAAATGGTCGGGTCGAATCAATATTTGTGCATATATTTTAAATGATTTGTATATATATTTGAGGCAACTACAGGTAAACAAGGAAGTGCTAGCACCTTTAGCAAGGTCTGACTTTCAGAACCAAATGATGGATGCAATAAATGCTTATCATTTGCAAGGTGGACCATGATTCCTGCAGTGCTTATATGGAAGTGCTTTTTGTCTCGAAACCCGCCTGAAAAGAAAAAGGGGGATGGAACGGATGGGGTCAAGCATTGGACTGATAAAGATGGCTATCAATGATGCATGTGGAAGGTTCCCAAAAGGACTTAGCATCAGAACAGATAAGAGGAGAAATTAGAGTTCCAGGAAGTTTCTGCAAATATTTTTGAATCAAGTTGCCATCTTATCTTCTTTGTCTCTCGCTAATACTCTGAATTGCTAGTTTAGAAGTTCAGGGTGGCAGGCGTATCATACATGTTAGCCATTGAGTTGCAATAATGTTTTACAAGAGATAATACTGCTAAGTAAAATAGCCCTGACTCATTCATCCAAAACAGGCAAGAGTTCATGTAAACCCCTAACTGAAAGATATATTTTCACCAGTTGTAATCCTCACTGATTCACTATACATTACTTTGTTCTGCAACAATCAAGTTACAAGGTTGAGTTTTGGAGGTAAATGCAAACATACATCCAAACACAGACACAAAACGTTTACCCGTTTAGAACTCACTTTTCTCCCTGCAGCTTGTTGGTTTTTATGATGAGGTCTTGAGTTTGGTCCTTAGCAGCCTGTTGAAGAAAGGTTGCGTCAGAATTGTTCTCAAAATGCATTTATTAAATCAGGCACACAAAGTAAAACAAATATACTATACCTTTAACCTGTCTGTCATTTCTTCACAACATGTGCTCATGGCCTGGACATCCTCATGAACACTTTCAAGCTCCTATGAGAACATGACGTTACAGTTGGTTACAACAGCACTGTTCATACATGAAGAGTCACACATATAGTTCTAATTAGGGATGCTCCGATCGCCGGAATCAGTATAGTATTAAATCTTCCATTTAAAGTGATGTTTAAAACTCAGTTAATGGGGCTCATTCACTGGAGCTTCCACAAACAACAATCAACTTAATTATTACATTCAAATGAAGTACATTATTCAAGTTTACATTCACTTTGGATAATAACACGGGAGAAATTAGCGGAAGCGCTCGAATTTCCTCTCTCTCCCTCTCCCTCTCTCTCTCCCTCTCCTGACAGCCTGTCAGTATCTCATGCAGCTCACTGATCCAGTAATGAGTGACCCGACAGTGAAGAATACATATATTTATAATAACTAGTTTAGCTTGTTCCAGAGGTAGATAAAATAGCTAAGTGTGTTAGGTCTAACTCTTGTGTGTTTCGCTCCGCTCACCGGTCCGGTGGGCGGAGCTGCAGGATTTCTGCTTCACACACGTTGCATTCCGCTATTTTGCTGTCTTTTTCGGACACCTTAAAATAATGCCAGACCGGTGAAGCCATTTTGGCGAGCTTGTTTTGCCGCACACAGAGACATGTGTCGTGTACTTTACGTCATGCGATCGGCTCTCGCGATCGGCATGTTTAGAGAGCACCGATCGATCGGTAGAATGTGAGTATCGGCCGATCTCGATCGGTGACTGATCGATCGGAGCATCCCTAGTTCTAATACATATTGAACAGTAGCATGTTTTAATTCAAGATTTTCACAATATCCACGACAGCATTTACTCTTGTGATGATCCCTGCTGAAAAAACCTTCCATCCCCTATTGAATTGAAACAATATGTCTATCCCTGAAGTTTGAAATGGAAATAATACATGTAATATGCTGTTCATAACTACCATCACAGCTGGTTTCTTTGTCATTTAATCTAATAACATAACATCAGGGGCAGCATCTTTGGAAAAACAAAGTTCACTATTTAGAGATTAATTGACTCAATACCGTCCCCACGTGACCTTTTGTAATCCCACCTCAGTTCAAGAGAGACACACTGCACAGGTGCTGATGATTTGAGTTGACCTTGAGTTACCTCTTTTACATCCTTAAATATTCGTGCAAACTCCTCGTTGATGGAAAGGCTTCTTCTCTCTATGTCACCGCGAAGATTTCTCCTGGTGCGCAAACTGTTCTCAGTGAAGAACACAGAGAGGGCCTTCAGAGCCTCCAGCATTTCCTGAAAGCACAACATAATAGGATAATGTAAGGCAATTGGTTTGTTCTCAACCAATGTCTGATGAGGATCTGTTCCCCTTGCACTCAACTGCGGTGAAGTTACTTTGAGTTTGGCTATTTGACAGACAGCATGAATACATCATTTTTTGACACAAAGCCAATGTGATTTTCAATAACTCCGCGCAGACTTGTTCGTGTGAAAAATGATGCTAAAATATTAATAATAAATGTGTCCTATGTGGCACACGTTTTTTTATTACAAATGTGCCCTGAACTGAACTCTGGAGGGCACACCTCTATTTATATACATATCTATTTGATATAAATATTTTAATAAGAAAATCATTTATCCATGTCAAATAGAAAAAACTATAAAAAGCAATGACAAGTGGTGTGTTCTACTTGTCGAGTGTAGTAACACATTATGATTTGCACTGACTTGGTCACATGATAAGTAAGCTATTGAAGAAAATAAGGACTTTTCAATAATAAAATATTCATATTAAATTGAAAAGGCACTAAAATCCAATAAAAAGAGGTGTGTCTTATTTGTACAAGCAATACAATGCTGCATTGACTTTGAAATGTTAAACCTAAAAACTGCAGATACTTTCATTAAAATATTCATATTTAATAGAGAAAACCCCAAATGGTCTGTGACTGTGGTCTGTCGCATTGATACAGTGTATTTATAACAAATCTGCATCCAGTTGGAGTCATTGGGTCAAATGAAATGGAAGCTATTGAACAAATCATACATTTGAATAGAAAAAAAAAGAAATGTCATTAAAATGTCATTAGATAGCAGGAGGACTAAAATACAATACTTTTCAAAGTGTATAACATCTGACATGGATTTTGATTCACTTGAACACATGACATGAATGCTGTTGTAACTGAAATGATCCTCTAAGCAAATATTTGTGTAAAATCAGATCATGACAGTAATCAGAAATCAAAAAATGCTGTGACTTCAAAGACACGTGTATGTAATTTGTTTGCATAATTTGTACACACATGGGCAAGTAAGCATGGAATTATCGAAAATATAATTGTGTCAAACTGTCATTTATCTATGCGGTCACTCAGTGAAACTCCGTGGTTAAGAGAGAGCTCTCTTTTCACAATCTGTGAAACTGAGTCAGAAAACCGAAGTGGATGCATGTCATTCTTTCCTTCAACACCCAAGTCCTCACCCCTGGAACTTAAACTATCCTCACAAATCCTGTAAGGTTCTGTTTGTAAGGTTTTCTTCACCACCTCCTTTAACCTGACCCAGAAAGCAAGTGCTAGTTTCGCTTTTCTTAACTTCAGCTGCTTCTATTAGTACAGCATTAATAGGGGTTGACTTAATAGCTCCTTTACGCCAAACGTAATGATTGTATTTGAGTGTATCCTCTTTAAACTGGGATGTGTCTTTCTTCTGCGCCATAATCTAGTAGTACCTGTTTATCTGGCCCATAGTCACATTCACCCAAATATCGTAAACGGTTTCATCTTATTTATGTATTCTCCATGTATATTTGATTAATATAGACCCAAAAGCAACATTGTGTGACTATCTTGCACGTCAAGCTAATGTTAGCTAGCTAGCAAGAAGCTAACCTCTTTCGTCTTACCTTGTCATTGTCGAGCCTCGTCTCCAGGATTTTGTTAAGCTTCCTTGACAGCGGGTTATTTGTTTGAGAAGGCACATTTTGGTTTTGTATGACAGTGGAGCTATCAATCATATTTTCTACTTTAGCAGCAGCCATTGTACACAAACACCTCCACGTCAACTTTTGGAAAGATGTTTTGGTCCGTCTGGAATTAACGTCCGGTCGGCATGGCGATCCGTCGAGTAAGGATACAACGTTCCGTTACGTGGTTTCTTTATTTTTGTTTAACTACGTTATCAAATGGAAGATGTGTGAATAACGAACGTAAATAATAATGGTTCTGGTATATATAATGTTTCCTCGTATTTAAGATGTCTCACTTATTGAATAAGCTATGTTAATTTGTTGTATCATTATTTAGATATGATTAAGTAGGCTACCACATAACACATCTGACACACGTGTACGTAATATGCTTTAAAAGCTGATGTAAAGGGATTCAATGTTACTGGGATTGAGAGCGCAAATAAAGAGCAATGCTGCGTTCAAGTACTGTTTGATGTTTTCCACTTGGACATTTTCCCAGGAACATATTCAATATTTTTGAACCAACTCTCCAACTTAACCCAACGTGAGAGTCTGATGATGAATACATTACTATATTATAAATATCAGTTTAAATATGGTATAACATTTTTTTTATTTTTTAGATGAACTATTCAATGGCATGCAGATATCAGAAACATAGCCTACTTGTTGTCATGCTTCTTGAGGACAACATTGCTTCAGCAAATTAATTTCATGAGAAAATAATTTGTTAAATGGTAGTGTAATAAACCTAAAAACACATTGGAACAGATTTTCTCAGGCAAAATAGTGTACATGTGTATACATGAGGCTGTTTTAGAACATTCAACTGTTAAATTCCAATACTTTCATCACAATTAATTGTCTTTCTAGTTAACTAGGCGTCCATGAATGCATCAGGAGCATGCAGAAATGATAGTAGCGGTGAGTCCAGCCCCTGGGTGGGGATTGTGTGTGATTGATGGTCACCTCCCATGAGTGCTCCGTGGACTCGCCCCCTCTGAGCTGCCTCTCAGAGCAGGAATGTGGAAACAGACTCCAGTCAGTCAGCGCCGCGCAGGAGTGAATAATTGATCTTTGCCTCGGTTAAATATATTGATGAGGAGGAAGTGATTTGTGAACGGATTCTGCGGCCACTTTTTGGATTTACATTCTCAGGTCGAACGCATTTCTCGGTCTCTTTTTTTTTTTTCTCGACTGAAGAAAAGTTTGCTTTGAGCCCCGAGCACAGCTGGAGCCAGCCGATGGAAATATAAACTCTCAGTGTCTACCGAGCGCCCTTATTCCGGAGCTCTCCAAACATGTAAGCTTTCTTCTTCCTTTCCCTTTTCTTTGCCTTATTTTCATGATTCACATTCCGACAGTGTGAGCACTGCGATAATACGGCGAGGTCACCCCTAACGAAAAATCACTATGTTCCTTTAGTGGTGGTCCTGCAGGGACTTCTAATGTGCCTCCTCAACCATAAGTCCACTTTCCACTGCTTTTGTGCTAGTTAATTTGGTATTTCATAGTCTATCAACATGCCGTAGGTTTATTGATGTCTGTATAACATCCTGATATAGTTTATCATAGCCATCCTTTTTCTGTTTAGTGGAAGAAATAGAACTTCACAGTAGCCCCAGCAGTTGTTCCAATAATAGTTGTTATTATGCATATTAACTGCTCTATTAAACGCTTTTAAGAAGTAAGTATGATGGGGAATAACCATTTGCCTCAGTGAGTTGATAACATGAATTGATTTAGCTATCAGACTGTTTGATTGTGTTTGCTATTTTATTGTTTTGAAAACATTGATTAACTATGTTATTTATTGAACTTTTTGCTTAACAGTTTTGCTTAACTATTTATAGTTTAGGACTATGAGTACTTATCTATAACTGATAAGTACTGATACTCTTACTAATTGGGATTCCAACATGTCTGTGCTTATAGCTGCACTTATAGTTCCACTTTCACTTAAAAACTGTGACTTTTCGCATCATTACAAAAGCTAAAAACTGGTTCCCGGATTACTTTTATTTGACTGTTTTTTCTTCTGCTCTTCCCCCTGACAGGGACCTGGAGTCAATGAGCAGGTGAAGGCTGCTGGTGTTAAATGCTCACTGCAAGGCTTCCCACAACACAGTGCCTGCTCATATAACTGCTGTTTATCCAGTGACTGTGTGTGAACTGTTGGCAGACCGTTTACCATGGCGTCTAGTCTGACATGTACAGGTGTTATCTGGACCCTGCTGTCCCTGCTGTGTGCCGCTGCCTCCTGCGTTGGTTTCTTCATGCCCTACTGGCTGCTGGGAACACAGATGGACAAGCCCGTGTCTTTTGGAACGTTTCGGCGCTGCTCCTACCCGGTGAGGGACGAGGAGAAGCAGGCCACGGTGATGCTGGAGCAGTGTGGCCGCTACGCCTCCTTCAATGGCATCCCCAGTCTGGAGTGGAGGATCTGCACAGTGGTGACGGGGGTGGGATGTGGCCTCCTCCTGCTGGTGGCCCTCACAGCTCTCATGGGATGCTGCATCTCTGACCTCATCTCGCGTACAATTGGTCGCGTGGCTGGAGGCATCCAGTTTGTTGGAGGTGAGTTTAACATCCCGTTTGTGTTTGTACCTGCAATCAACAAAGACCCCCTGCTTTCACAATGGGGACGTGCACATGCCTCGATTACAATTATAAAGAGATCAAGCTTTGAGCTGTCATATCCCATGATGGTTTATTCCTTTCATTAGAAGACTACAGCTTTAAACTCCTTGGATAAAGATGTTTTTAGAGAATTGGGGCGTTTTAATGGCTTAACTTCTCATCAAATTTGTTTCATGAAAAGAAGAGTTGTTTGTGAAACGAGATCACATTTGTGAAGAAACAAGGAGGCATAGAAATCTTGATAAGCATGACAATTTCACCCCTGGCCAACTTTTCTTTGCCAACAATAAACCTCCTGTCGAAATGTTGTTTCCTCAGATACTCGGCTCCATAAGAATTGAATAATGCCTGAGTGAGATGTTGGTCATGTTACCCAGTTAATGACGCCAGGTCAGTTTACATATCATATCTCATGACTGCGGTTGAAAAACAACACACACACACACTTCTTCACCATTTTCACAGAGTACATCGCTGATGGCTTTTGTCCAATTTCAGAAAGCTTGGATTGGGCACAGTTATTGTAAATAAGGTAAAGCATATCATTAGTTTTTTAATTATTCCTTTCTTTGTTTTACTGTGACTTATATTGGCTGCAGATTGTTGGCATTTGATTCATATCCTTTGTGTTTAGTTTGATTGATGAAATGATGGACAAACATGTTGGTGTGATTTCCTGCTCTGGTTTTGATTTGAGTGCTCCCCTTAGAGTAGAGAAGAAACCCACGCCCTTTCTCTTCCTCTTTGCAAAAAAAAAGGGCTGTGTCCAGCCACAACGCTGGCCACGGAAAGGTATTTTTGTTTGTTTGTTTGTTTGATTAAAGTAAATGGACATGGCTCCACACGGCACAGACTTGGTTTATTTGTACTCTTGGTTTTGCACATTGGTTCTCCCTGGACGTGAGGTCTGAGGGAAGGCTTCCACTGAAGCTGAACGTTTCTCTACCCCAGTTTAAGAAGCTGCGGCGCTCCAGCCCTCTATTTAACTCAAAGACGTTGGGCTGCATACTGTGGCTAACCACCCTGCTATTTACAATCCCCATCACTTCAGTTCGGCTTTAAAAAGTAATGTGACAGAGAAGCAGGTTGCAGGCAGATTTGACACAGCTGTCAAGTGTTTCAGAGGGATAAATCAGAAGGAGCCACCAAAACGTGCCATGTCCTAGTTCTTTGCTGCTTAGGAACATCAGTATTAATGATGTATGGAGGATGATGAAGGTGAAGGCTGGCTGGCTTATTAAAAAATGTGCACTTTTATGTAAGTAGAGCTCCTTTTAAGCTCACATACATACAGTATTACAGCAAGCTGCTATTTTTGGTTATGGGATTAAAAAAAACCTGTCTGTCTTTTCTTGCGATTTCTCTCTTTCGGGGACTCTCAAATCCAGACCCGCATGAATCTAGATGGCGGGAGGGCGAAGGGAGGCGGGGTACAATACAAGGGGTACCCGTGCGGTTCTTTTTAACTTGAATACTGGTGAGCAAAAGGGCAGAGATGTCTCAGAAGGGCTAATTGGAAGTGACACAATTGGGAAGCTCACGGGCTGTATCACTTTCAAATAAATGAAGAGGTGGGCAGGGTAAATTGGGAGAGAGAAGACAAAATACCCGACGATTGAAAGATTCTGCATTCACTTCTTATTAACCAAGAACCTTGCTGAGACAGATTGAGCCGCAGGGGGAATACCAAAATGTGTACTGAGAGATATGATCAAATCTCAGCGATTAGCGGGGACAGTGAGTAAACGAGACGAACATTAGTGAGGCAACACGTTTTCATTCACCAGATGCGAAAAGAGCCTTGTGGTTCACTGTCTGATGCCAATGTCTTCCTCCCTTTGTGTTCCCCTGCTCCCATTGTTGGACACTAATGAAGAGTGTCTTACCAGAGAGCCAAGGGCCTCTGGGCTGCAACAAGTAAAACAACCACTTTGTATCTTCCTGTAATTTATCTCAATCCCGTCAAGTAGATTAGAGCTGAAAGGATTTAACAGTGCTTTATCTCATTAGCAGCAGCCCTGACTGAAAGAATACCTTTTAACTACAGTTGTTGTTTACCTAATGTTGTTTTTTCTCCCAGAGTTCAGTATGGGCAAGTTGTTCCAGAGCTAGTTAATTGCTTATGGCAAAGGCCCAGATTTCTCTACAGGCCACAGAGTTGAAGTCTGAGTATGAGACTATGAGACTGTTCTGGCTCATAAATCAAAGGCCTGAGCGCCTTGTGCTGCTTACATTAAACCACTGCCTGTGCGGTACTTTCTTGTCTGAGTTATGCAACGGTGCGGAGTCGGTGCATCAGAACATTCAAAGATTTTTGACTCTGATTTGGTTGTTAGGGATTTGATTTCCCCCCCTCCCTGCAGTGCTTTGCCTTGTCTTTGGGGCCCTCAAGCAGAGCTTTGCACAGCGGGAAGAAAACTACAGTATTT